CTCCTAGTCGGCTCATCCACCATTTGCACTCCTCCCCATCCACTTTCCTGTCTCCATCTCAAATAACAAAAACATTCCCCAGCAGCTCTGCTCATTCTCCTGTGACAAGTGGCTTTGGAGAACACAGCTTTACTAAAGGGACAGCAGAGCAGCTCTAGGTAAGCATAGTAAGGACACCCCAAAGCAGGCAAGAACATACCTTGGGGAACTGGCGTCCATCGCAGTTAGTCACTACAGCATTGGTGACTCCCAGCCGATGCAAGTTCCCTACCACGCTATGTAGCCGTTCAGCATTGCTGTCATTGGCCAAGATCATACCTGTGTTCTTCATAAGCTGAGCTGCCAGAGGGCAAAACACATCAGCAAGGGACCGAAAATCTCCTGCATGTTTGCCCATAGGGACAGCCACCCCCCTTCTTTCCCCAAGGTCAGTCCCACTCTGTTCTCCCTTTCTCTATAGGCCAGTCATCACTTCACAAAGCATCCCTCCCAAGCCTCCCACTCAAGGCTTCAGGGTGGTACCTATGTAGCTGGTCTTGCCTCCTGGGGCACAGCACATATCCAGAATACGTTCATTCTCCTGTGGAGCCAGAGCCATGACAGGGAGGAAACTGGAGGCTCCTTGCAGCATGTAGTGCCCAGCCAGATACTCAGGGGTGGCACCTGGGCAGGGAAGGCAGAACAAAAGATGACATGCAAAAGAAAGGGAGCCAAGAGCGGGTCAGCTCAGTCCTATGACAGGAAGGGTGATCTCACCGATGGGCACAGAGGAGTCATAAATAACGAGTCCTGTTTTTGACCACTTCCCCAAGGGGTCAAGATTCACACCACGGTTGATTAGAGCCTGCAAGGCAAGGAGACTGGACTGAGACACCACCTCATGTGACAGGCAGTGCAGGAGACAGCCACAGGTTCCTGCTCACCTGTGCCAGGTCCCGTCGCCGTGTCTTGAGTGTGTTGGTGCGAATGGTCACGGGGCGGGGAACCTCATTGGCTTCCAGGAAGTTTATCAGCTAGATGAAAGAAGGGACAGAGAATAGAGATAAAAATGAAGATCTGAAGAGGCAGCCAAATCCTCATCTGTCAGTGAAGACATGGGCAGGGTAAGATCCTACCTCAGGGAGCGGGAAGATGTCCATGAGCTTTGTGAGCAAGAAATCACTGTAGGAATAGTAGGCAGCCATGTCCCGGCGCAACAATGTGAGGTACTCCTGTCGTGTGCGTCCTTCCTCCCGCTTCACCACGAAGTCCTGCAGCACCTCCATATTGCCCTTGATGCGCTGGTGAATGATGTGCAGGTCAGGTGGCTCAGCAGGTAGAAAGACAGTTAAGGAATCATAAATAGCAAGAAACTTGCACACAGGCTCTTTGCAAGCACAACTGGTCATGTAGGACTCCTGCATCACAAGAGCACCCACACCAGAAAGGCCTTGTTGGAGTACACTTTAATCAGAGCTCAGCAGAGGGGGAGATTCAAAGGATAGAACCAAACAAAAAAGTTCACGAGGCAGGAACTACAAAGTATTTAAAATAATTTGGTGAGTTACTTTAGATAAATAAAAAAAACTAGGAAAAAGATTATAACAAAAACGGTCTTTTAATAGTGAAAACACTACCTGTATCAGAAAGGAGACTAGAAATTCCGCAAGGACAACTAAAAGGTACAGAGGAGAATGAGAAGAGACAGGATTAAATTGTACTGGGGGCAGGAAATTAAAATCACCCAAGCCCAAGAGCAAGCACTTCAGATGCTGGAATTGCTGTCATCAGAAGCTCTAGCAATGGGTTAGACAATCACCTGCCACGAAAATCAGGGTACAAAGGAATGAACTACATGATAAGATATCCACATGCATTTAGAACTAGCAAGTAAATCGGGGCAGGCTACAAGCTCCATACAGGGTGGAACAGATTTCCTAACCGTGCTGTACAGAAGCGCAGCGTTCCTGTCTATTAGGGCAGGTCATCTAAAAATACCTTGTCATGCAAAAACCACTCTTGCTAAGTAATACTCACGATAAAGTCTAAATGAAGCTCTTTGGCTGTATGCAGGCCTCGTGCTGCTGCAGGCATATGGCTTACAGATGTCACAGATAAAAAGGATATCCTCTCTCTCAATCTGTTCGCTAGTTGGCAGTTTAAATTGTTCATCTATATCCAGGTTGAGCTGCAGATCCGGGTTCTCTTCTTCTTTCTGTCCCATTTTCTGTTTGTTTGCCTCCTCTGCTGCCGCCGCCTCCTCCTCCTCTTCACTGTCACCTTCACTGTCATCTTCACTGGGGCCTCCCCTAAGGATAAAAAACCAGAGTGACGTTTTGCACAAAAACCAGCATCGCATAGGCACTTCACAACAACCATTTCTTAGATGGCAGAAAGGACAGAAAAATGAACACTGGCTCCTCATCTAACCAGGAAAGACTCTATGGACTTACAATGTTCTCAAATCCTCACCTGTCAGGCTTCTGCTTCAGGGCAGCTTTTTCAATAGGCAGTAACTAAACAGAGAAAAAAAGATTAATCAAACAATATCTCCCTTTGCCCCCTCACTCCCCACCAGCTGTGAAATTTATTTGCTCTGTTTAAAAAGGACAACAATCAAAACCACTGAATGTTATGCTAGGATCAGCTGCTAAACTTGAAATTGTTCATGTGAATAGAAGAAGGAGAAAGCTCTCTGTAACCTTGCTACTAGTAAAGTCACCCTTCTTCCCCAAGCCCGATACGTCCTTTCAGCCAGCAAAGTATTTCTTGCATAGTTAAGTGCAAAAAGCTCCTACCTCTTCTTCCTCTGATGATGAAGCACCGTAATCATCCACCATCTCCTCGCTGCTCTCATCCTCCTCCTCCATCTCCCAGCTGCCCTCTTCCACCTCACCATCACTGGATAACTCCACACTGTTTCCTTTAGATGCGATTTTCTTGGCTTTGGCTGGAGTCAGCCATTTTGAATTGCCATCGCTAAAGCCAGACCGGCCACGAGGGGTTTGTCCTGCTGCCTTTATGGCTTGTTTCTCCTTCTGTGGTGATACCTGCTCTTTAACTACAGACAGAAGAAACAGTTAAAAGTTAGGCATTATTCTCAAAAGCAGCTACCCTATTTTTTTAGTTCTTCTATAAAAGAGAACTTCATCCTAGTCCTGAGCTGCCTGTCCAGGAGCAGGCACTGCTTGCTTTCCACATTACTTTTCTCAATCATAAACACAAGCATATTCATGCCTCTCCCCCAGTGAAACTTGAAAGGATCTAACTAGAATTACCAAAGAAAAACACAGCTACAAAATCCTTGTGGTATTTGCTCTGACACATTAGAGCACCCTCTTTCCCAAATCTTTGTCTAGCCTTCCTTCTTCCCACTGTGACAGCTCCCTAGGATGGAACACAGCGAGCTTAAAAGCCTCTGCTCCCCGACCTGCCTGCAGTAACCTCGCTGTGAACCGAGGACAAGTCAGAAGCGTCTTTGGCACGCGGAGGAGAGACCTTTTACCAGCTTTATCTTCAGACAGCTCTGCTACCTGGCAGGGCCCAGAAATCGGAAAAACTTAAGTCTAAAATAATACAATTCCACCTATCC